GTTGGTAGTCAGTCTGTAAATCATAAAGAAAGTTGTGGGAAAAGTCTAATTAATTTCCAGGAGCTCAAGGTTCCCCCTTCCTTGTTATGATCAAACAAGAATAAATCTCCAAATATTCACATGAAACAGGAAATTGCTATGTTATGTCCAGATTTTTAAATTTTATTTATTTTTTCTTTCGGTTGCTCCCTTCTTCAGACTTGGCTATTGTTTTTACGCCGGATGACCTTCCTGACACAACCACAGACCACCGAGCTACCACAGCCTTCTGTGTGGAGCAGAGAGCTGCCATCTAGGGTGTCTGGGAGGGCGGACGGTGGGGGTTAGGTGCCTTGCTCAAGGGCCCAGAGTGGAGCAAATGAGAATGGAGGCAGGTGTGGGTGCTTCAGCTTTCCCACCCACATTTTGATGTTGTCAGTACCGGACGTTGAACCAACGATCTTCCGGTCACTGGCCCACCTTCTCTAACCTCTGCGCCACCACTCCCAGCATAATGTTCAGATTGTGCTGTTTAAATGATTGTCACATTGATCATTAAGAAGCTCTACATCAGTGATCCTCACTATTTTTTTTTCAAAAGAGCCATATTGACAGATCAAAGTCAAGGGGAGAGCCGCGATATATCACCCCAAGTTACTTCAAATAAAAGAATAAAATGAAACAACCCACCTGTGAACAAAAAAGAAACACAGCCAGCTCATTATGTTTCAACAAAATGCACCTTGGTACTGAGATGAGAAGCTGTGGTGCATGTCCTTGACTTTCTTCATGTTGTGTTTGTAATTTGTTGTTGCAGCCACAGCGAGGCATTCAAGATGGGCATCAGTCGGCTTCTCTGTTTTTGCTTGATAGTGTGGTTGAAAATGTTGATTCACACGTGTCAAAATTTCAGCTTTTATCCCATAAGGAAAACACAAGCAACAAATACACTGAATACCAAAGTCCATGCTCAACAATGAATATGCTGTAGTATGTGTACGGATGAAGATGACCCTCTTCACATTTCCTCCTGCCCCCTCATGTAACCATGTCTAGAACTGGCCCTGTAAGATGCTCCTACTTCCTTCACCGCAGATGACCGCAGGTGCGGAGACGCTCGGCCGGTAGCTGATCCATCTGAGATTGACAGGACATTTTTTACATCTTTAGACCGGTGGGTCAGCGGACGCACGCGGTCGGTGATGATCAGCGAATACATCTGAAGCTTAACAGGACTGGTTTTTGTTTGTTTGTTTTTTACCTCTACCGGCTGGTCGGACCTTCCTCCTCCTCAACAAGTAGATTAACACAATATTATTCGTAAAACCGCATCAAAGAAGCCCAAGCCGACATGCGCAATTATTGCCGCATGTGGCTCACGAGCCACACATTGAGTATCCCTGCTCTACATTATGAAATACAAGTTTTTACCTAAATATTGTGGCCCGTCTGCTGCCCTTGGGTCAAAATAACCTAGGAAGACTCAGTTTTAAGACTAAGGCCTAGGCCTGTCGCTATAAACAATAAATCAGTTAATCGCTTATAAATGAAAATTATCGACCTCATTTTCTATCGTCTTTATCGTTTCTTCATGTCTCTCTTTCTACTGAAGACACTGGATGACAAAAGGCTCAACTCCGTTGCTCTTCACTGTCCCCTCCCTTTCTCTTTTATCTTTTAAATTTGTTTTAATCGTCCAAAATCACATTTTTGGATCATTAAAAGCAGCTAAGCTGAGAAGCTAAGTTACGAGCTAAGCTAACAGGCCGACCTCGGGGGAAAAAACCTCCGTCTTGTCCAAGCTCTAAAATTCACGGTTGAAACCTGTGCCTTTGTCTAAAAAGTTGTTTTTCTTTGCATAAAGAAGCTGAGAACTTGTTTACTGATTTTATTATTAAAAGCTTTGTGTGAAAAATGCTATGCTAAAGAGCTCAAACCACACCGAGCGTCTGCCATTTTGAGAACCGAATAAAGGAAGGAGAGACAGCCCATGTCACGTCAAGGGGCCTCCCTCCCGTTTTTCTTAAAGAGACACACTGCTCGCTCTCTCACTATCCATCCTTCGGTTCAAACGGTCTTGTACTGCCATCCAGTGGATAAAAAAAGGCACTACACACAAAACAAATTAACCAACATTTCTTCTTAAATTTGACAATAATTTGTAATTATTGTCAAATTTCAAACAATATTATCGTTTATCGCAATAATTTCTGAGACAATTAATCACCCAGCAAAATTTGTTATTGTGACAGGCCTTCTAAGGCCTTATGGGTAGTTTTGATCCAAGGGCAGCAGGAGGGTTACATCCATTGTTTGCTTGTTTATGGACCTGAATATTCTTTTAGTTAAACAATGACGTTAAAAACTTTGGTGAGTATAGTACGAGTTATTTTTGAGAAGATGTTCCAATCTTTTATTGTTTATATTTGGTGTATTGGTGTCTTAAAACGTTGTGCTGTTTCTCCAAACAGGAATCCAACTTGCAGCGAGTAAAAACAGGCGATGCCAAGGCCAGTGTGCATCGCATGGAAATCGACAGGATTCGTTATGTTCTCAGCAGCTACCTGCGCTCTCGTCTGCTGAAGGTCAGTCATTCTGACCCGCTGAAGTAAAGCTCGGCACGGTCTTCCTCTTTGTGCATATTGTTAAAAAAATACACCTCTTTGTGTTGTATTTGTCCAGATTGAAAAGTTTTTCCCTCATGTCCTGGAAAAGGAAAGGTCTCGGGCTGAAGGACAGCCGCCCCTGCTTTCTCCTGAGGAGTTTGCGTTTGCCAAAGAGTGAGTTTAGAAGCTTGATGCTCCTTTTGTTTATTCTTGTGAAACTCAGGGTTAGAATAAAACCTAAAACATGTTAATTGTTGCATACAGGTACTATGCCAGCACAGAAACCTACCTAAAGGCTGTAGCGCTGAAACGCATGCCGTCCAACTTACAGACTGTGGATATGCTCAAAGCAGGTACAAAATCCCCTTTTATAATCTGTCTGTTGCAAGTCAGGCTTGATGGTGGCGTTTACTGATTGACTGGTTCATTTTTATCTTATCCCAGTGCCTGAGCCCTGTTTGGACTCCTTCGTTTTTCTGCGAGTGAAGGAGAGACAAGAAAACATTTTTGTTGAGCCTGAAACGGACGATCAAAGGTAACAACTCTTCAAGTTCAGTTTAGTGTCCAGAAGGTGGCAGTGTTATCTGTCCACGGTGTGTGTTTTGAATGTTTTGCCTCTTGTTTCAGGGAGTACGTTGTGGATCTTGAAGAGGGCTCCCAGCACTTGATGCGATATCGCACCATAGCTCCGCTCGTTTCAAGCGGAGCCGTGCAGTTAATTTGAACTTCCAGGTAAACGAGTCTCCACAATCAGTGCCGCCTCTCTCTCTAGTAATAACGACCTCTCTCGGACAGACATCTGCTAAATCATTTCTGCAGATGTTGCATAAGGTTTGCAGTAAAATCTGCATTTATTTTTAGCGCCAAGCTGTTTTATCACTTGGCAACAAATAAAACAACATATTTTCTGTTTGTGATATGCCAAATGTGTTATTTTACTTAATTACTGTTGCTAATTAAACTTAGTTAATGCAGTGTCCTTTTTTTAATGTTGCATGTTTGTTTGTTGTCATTTTCTGCTGCAGGAGATCATAAAAAGCCTAACTTCTACCTGTGCTGTAACAGAGAAAGGGCAGATTTATCTGCAGAGGTCACACCAGGAAACTTAACGACCTCCTCGCTGTCGCCTGGAATAGAGAAACTTGCGAGACGTTCATGCAGATACCGCCACGGCTTCAAAAGTGAAGGTCGTGAACGCACCAGCGTTTGCAGTGCTGTGATGTTATTTTTGGATCTTATTGTAGTCATGTCACAACTGATGTGTAGCTGTGTGTGTGATGGTTTTTTTTGTGTGTAATACAACAATCTTATGTGTAATTTATCTCATTCATTCCTTTTTATGACTTTATTAAATCATCCATGGTTCAATAACGAGATGACCTGAAGGGGAAATGTTATCAGTTCACTTGGCATCAGCGCTCCTGTCATTTTTAGGTGCACATGTTCATGTGTGTGTGTGTGTGTGTGTGTGTGTGAGGTGGCTGTTTGTATAAATACCAAATGTAGTTTGGAAGGATTCATGGGACATTGTCTTCTGTGAGCTGTAATCATCACATCATTGTTATATAAGAGTTTCAGAGGGTGCAATCAGTGCTTATTGTTTGCCTGAACGCAAATTGCTCAGTAATTGGAAGTAATAAAAAGTAAAGAGCGAGAGAGTGGGCTTATCTGAACAGATCTGATGTCAGCATGCCGTTTGTTATCATGATGCTTATCCAGACTGGATCTAACCAAACTACTTGTTTAAAGTCTTTATTATCCTGAATTAAGCTGCGAGCTATAAGCTAATAACATGGAGGCCATCATTTAGAGATGAGCTTGGATTTTACATATTAAATGAGAAAAAAGTAAAAAATAATAATCTTACAGTCAGAAATGTGTTTTTTTGAGAAGATTAAACTAATATTAGCAAATAGGTTTCAGAGAGTAGTCACTGGGTTGACATTGATCTGATTGGTCGCTACAAGAGGCAAAAATAGCTGTAACAGTTTTACAGGTGTAAACAGTTGTTGTAGTAGCTGGACATTGTCTCCAACACAACAGCTTGTGTAACATCTCTGCCTAAACCTTTAGGATTTACTTGAGCTTCACTGAAATCCCTCTATTGGTATATTAAATATTGTAATTGCCAGAACGCATCTGACTAAGCCGCGCATACTTAATTTAGTATAAAACACAATTTTGTACACAAATCAGACGTGCTGATGTGTAAGCCACAGATGTCCACAATTTAATATCAAACTGTACACAGCTCCTGGTAAGATGTGCAGCCCTTGTTATAGTACAAGAATGAACCACCAGATGGTGTTTCTTATGTTGGTTTGCCTTCAACACT